TGTGGCCAGGAAGGTTGAAGTGTTCTCCTACAGGTTGTCTGTATGCCTGGACTTTCTCTGTCATCTTAATGCACTTTAATAGGGCACATCTGTCCCCCCCACCCCCCAACATATGCCCCTGTATGCAGATTTACAGTGCCCTAAAGTGCACTGAGCATTTGAAATTGACACTTTTACCACCAGGTCAATCAAAGCTAGTGAGCAGTCAGTAGGCTCTTGATTAACTAATTGGAGTGTGGGTGATCAATAAAGGATAAATCTGAATGAAATACATATTATGCTTTATGACCCCTGAGCCTTTGTAATTGTAGCGGGGCTGCTGAATGCAACATAGTTGGTACCCACATCTGACTAGGAAGCTGCTCCGCCTTTTGTTTTCAGTACAGTAAAGAATTCTGAAACTTTAATAACTAACCATTTTAAAAATTCTATTTCTTTGTAATTGTAATGAGAGGTGGTTGGGGTTTGAGCATGGAGCTCGGAGCTCCTGTATTCTAATCCTAGCCATAGCTTCCTTCAGTGGCCTATGGCTAATCACTTCACACCTTTGCCTCAATGGGAATGATAATGCCAGGAGTGTTGTGGGAATTAACTGGTTAATGTTTGTATAGAGTTATAAAGTTGAAAAGTGCTATAGAAGAGTTATTTTATTTATATGTCATCTAACTTGTTTATATAATCATCTTGTAATCTGGCCCTGCCTTAGAAAAGTGCAAAATAAAAATCTTAGACTACAATTGTTTGTTTTAGTCTCTTCTAGCTATTCAGGTTCAGATGTTCAGAAACGCATGCCACAATTGTCAAATTTTGTGTGCCATCATGAATGTGTGTGCGCAAATCAGGTATTTGAGTGAGTAGGGGTCACATAGGTGTCCAGCTGGCCTTCCATGTGCACAAATACCTCATTTGCATGCACACTAATTGTGTGAGCATTTCTGAAACCTGTCCCATAGGTCCAGATTTTCAGTAGGCTTCTGTTTCCTGCACATACTCGTGCAAATACTTGAGCCTGATCTGCACCTGCAAAATTGAGGGCATTTGAAAATTTGCCTCTAGTGGAAGCTGACTTCTAGGCTTAAAATAAAACCATCCCATTGGTAAGATTTCTTAATATCTCCTCAGTGACTGATTTCATGTTGCACATAATGACTCCTTGTGGCTCTTAAACTTTAATTGATGGTACAGAATGCAAGATTTTGTTCTGTGGTGCATTTTTATTTTTCAGTGTTCATGAATTTGAGATTTCTAACTGGCTAGAGCCAGGGTTGCTTCCACAGTTAGTAGCACACCCTGGTTAGCCTTGTTCTCAGGGCTTCCCACACTGTTGTGCTGATGCAGTTGAGAGTTGAATTGCAGCATCCAGTCCTGGATTCCTCTGAGCTCACATTCACAAACAGTGTGAACACATTATGAGCAAACATATTTCTAAATGAACAAACACTCAGTTGGAAATATGAAAGCACGAACCTCATTTCCCTGATGACCTACAAGATACTGGAACCCATGACCCTAAGGATGAAAAGCATAGTTATTAAACCACTAGAAAAAATAATTATAGAAATACCAGCTGTAAAAGCATGAGGATCTGAAAGAAATGGAACCTTTCATTATATCTTAGGTACTTACAGGGCCTCCATTACTGTAGTATTTGAATGCCTCTCAATCTTTAATGTAATTTTTCGCCACACCTCTGTGAGATAGGAAGTGCTGTTATTCCTGTTTTACAGACAGGGAACAGAGGCAGAGAGAGATTTAGGCTGTCTACACTGCCCCACAGTTTGGATTATGGGGCTGTGGATAGCAATGTGCACAAGGCAGTACATAATGGAGGTGTCATAAATAAAAAGGGAAGGGTAACACCTTTATGTATGCAGTAACATAAAATCACTCCTGGCCAGAGGTACAGAATCATTTTACCTGTAAGGGGTTAATCGGGTCAATTAACCTAGTTGGCACCTGACCAGAAGGACCAATGGGAAAAGAAGATACTTTTAAATCGGGGGTCGGGGGGAGTGGTTTGTGCTCTTTTTGTTTGTTCCCACTGAATAGAGAGAGAGAGAGACCAAGCAGGTAACCCATCTCTTGAAAAGATACCTTAAAATGATACATCTAAAATTACAGGAATTGTAAGTAAAGGAAAGGAAATGCGTTAGATTATCTTTTGTTTTAGCTTGTGAATTTTCCCTGTGTTAAGAGGGAAGTTTATTCCTGCTTTTGTAACTTTGAAGTTGAGCTTAGAAGGGAATCTTCTGTGTTTTAAATCCTTTTATCACCCTGTAAAATTACCTTCCATCCTGATTTTAGAGGTGCTTCTTTTACTTTTTTCTTTATAATAAAGTTCTTCTTTTAAGAACCTGATTGATTTTAGTGCCCTAAAAATAAAGGGCCTGGTCTGTACTTTTATTAAAGGCAATTGGTTGGTATATTATTCTCAAGCCTCCCCAGGAATGGGAGTGAAGTGGCTTGGGGGGATATTTTGGGGAAATAGGAACTCCAAGTAGTCCTTCTCCTGAATCTTTGTCTAAATCACTTGGTGGTGGCAGCAATACCGTCCAAGGACAAGGAAAGGATTTGTGCCTTGGGGAAGTTTTTAACCTAAGCTGGTAGAAATAGTCTGGGGGTGGAGGCCCTGGGATAGTTTCAGTTGGGTCCTGCCCAGCATTCACCTCACAGTAGCGGTTCCTGCAGCTCCGGTACTGTGGGGCTGGGTCTCTGCTCCGGGCATTGGAACCTCTGGGGTTGCAGCGCCGCTCAGGTTTGGCCCTGCCCCCCTGACTGGACCAGATTTGTGAGCGTGGAGTTGTGACCTCACTCAAATTTGGCCTATCTGGACTCCCATTATCATGACGGCTGGGCCAAAGCTGAGTGGCTCTGGGACCCAGATGTTGCAGTGCCTGGAGCAGGGATGCGAGCCCAGCCAGCCCTGTGGGACAGGAGCTGCCACGCAACCTTTTGAAACGTTCTGGCAATTCAATTTTGGGTCAATTTTGAGAAACCCTGCTCTACATTATTGCCAGTGAGGAACCTTTTAGTTTACACTCGCAGCATCCAATTGGGGGAGTTACAGCGCTGCTATTCACATCCCTGTAGTCTGAACTGTGGGGCAGTGTAGACAAGCCCTAAGTGACACAGGAAGTCTGTGGCAGAGCAGGAACTTGAACTCAATTTCACTGATAAGTTATTCTTCCTTATTCATTTTGGATTGTTTGGGTGGGTCTCCTCAAACTACTGCTGAGAATATATTTTCTGAATTAAATTTCTTGATATTTCTTCTTATGAGCAGAGGTCAGTGTTGGTGGGAGGGATTAGATGACAGTACTCTGTTCAAACTTCATCCACAATCCCAGTTCCATTGTGATCCATAATAATAGAATGTTTTTTCTAAAGTGATAAACAGTCAAATTGGTGCCATAGAAACCATTATCATTAGGCTTCAGAGTTCACATAAGCTCATATGAATGGGCAGATCAGGCTTTTAAACTATTTCAGCCTATGCATTGGCTCAGTAAGGCTGCATTACAAAATGATGTATGTGCTAGCATGGACCAGGCGCTGGTGTTTTCAGCACAATTGCATAACACAGTGTTGAAAACACAGGAACCTGATTTACAGCTGCACCAGCTTAAGCACTCATATATTTGTGCCAGAAAACAGATAAAAAAATTTGTAGTCTAGGCACACCCCAAGATAATAACATTCTAAATGTGATGTGAGTGCAGTGCTATTTTCATAACCATAGGGGCAAGAAAACTTGCCTTACTTTTTAATGAAAGCTTACATTCTGCAGAAAGTGATAGGGCCCCACAGAAATACTGATATCGCATCCACTAAGTACCTGTTCAGTCCCATCTCTGCCTGTGCAATGATTTTATTAGCTATATCAGAGCCTTTGAAGAACAGCCTATATTTTGGGAAAATTAATCTGCTGCCCCAGCTCATATCCTGCATCTGGTGCCTGAGCTTGAGGATGAAAAAAAGTTTTGGCCATAGGCTGTGGAGGCAGTGGGGGATGTGAATGAGTTGCTGCTTCTTCTAGAGGCTGTCTCTTTACCCAGGCAGCAAGCAGGTGGATGGAAGCTAGCCAGGTAGTGTTAAGGCTTAGCGGTCAGTGTCTCTTCCTGATAAAATGATATCAGGACAATCTTTTTAATATTTCAGTTTTCCTCCCCAGACAGACAAATATACACCTGGGACCGCCCTGCTCAAGGGATATCAAGAGGAAACGAAAGCCAGCAGCAGCTGCAGCCTCTCTTTCCAGCCCTACTTCAGGTAATTTGATTTAACCCTAGCATCCCTGGTCTGTGCACCGTCACTTGTCCTGAGGGGACATTCCAGCATAGGCAAAACGCTGGGACCAAGATTTTAAAAGTGGCTAGTGATACTGGGTGCTTTGGTTTTTGGATTCCCAACTTGTGATGCCTTAAAGGGCCTCGATTTTTTCAGAAAGTCTGAAGCGTTCACCCTCTGAAAACCATGCCTTTTGAAGGTATTTTAGGTTGGGCACCCAAAAATCATTAGTCACTTGAAAATCTTGGTGTGGCGGTCTAAGGTAAGAATTCCTAAGTTGGAAAGAGGGGGAAGACTGTGTCTGAAAATAGCACAATATTTGTAGGAATATTGATGATTAAAGTTAAATGAAACACAAGTGAGAAGGTGATAGTGAGTTATGGCTGTAAGTGGCTTGCATTTTGCACAGTAACAAAAAGAGTGGCCTAATGAATGAGTATATGAAGGTGCACCCATGGTGAGTTAGTATCATTTACATTGCAAGGTCTTGCAGTGTCAATATTCAGTGCTGCTGCTGCATAAGCCATTATTTCCACAGTTCTAAAATTAAGCCATGCAACCCCAAAGTGATGAGGAGGTGAGCCCCTGTACTTCGTAGATCTCTTTCACAATGCCTGGTATGAACTGATGTTTTGGTTCCCTCTCTTAAGGAGATCTCTGGACCCTTTGCTGCAAGAGCCTAATTCTTGCTAAGGTTAATGGCTCACCTCTCAATATCCATACTGGTAATGCCAACTCCACCTGGAGCCGTTTACCACTGCAAGTGGTAATCACCCCTGTTCCCCTTCTTGCTCCAGGAATGTAACATCTAGAATTCTGGCTTTTTTTCCAGGTGGATTATACCTCAGAAGTGACTATTTTGTAGGGTTTTGAAGGTGACTCAGGTGTGAAATGGGTATAAATCTGAGGATCAAAGAGGTTTTTGGGAGGGTGGGGAGATACCTGCCTAGAGTGAGTTCACTCCTTGAAATTTTTTAATTCCAACATGCAATTTCTATGTGACCCATGTTCCTCTGGTAGCTTGTGACTAAATTTTTGTGTCAGGAATCAGCAGCAAGAAGGTGGGTGGCCAAGAGCAAAGCGATGGTCAGATCCAGGAAACAATGGAAAAGACCAGAGGAACCACCAGTGGATGGGTGGAATCATGTCAGTGCCTTTTCTGGGGGTTTGTGGGAGAATAAGAATATCGAGCTGGAAGGAAATCATGCAGTAAATACAGTTCAGATTATGTGTCTAGTCAGTGTGTATCCAGAGGGATCTCTGTGCTTGTTTCAAAGGGACAGAAAAAGTGTGTCTGGTAAGCAAATGAAGAGTGTCAGTTTGCTTCTTCCTGGCAAAAGTCTGTTTGCTGGTATTCTTGGATTTAGCAGGTCCATTGGTGGCCTTGAATGTTATAACAGGATAATCAGATTCCTAGTGTGGAAGGCTGTATAGAAAGGTATCTGAATAGCTAATTATGATCATTCTTTGGGTATATAGAGTTCTTGGTGGGAATTATTGTCCTATCATTTTGTTTTATGCTTCTGCTACTTTCCATGGTTCTTCCTGCCAGAATGCAACTTTTGTGATGTATTTCTGCTCTGTTTCTATAGACTGATCTTCCATTTCTATGGCTGCTGTCATCAAAATAGATCCCAAAACACTTTAAACAATTTAATCCAGCCTTGTATTTATAAGATAACACAAAGAGATAATCACAGACTCCCTCCCTCTCTCGTGCACTCTCACTAGTTATTATCATGTTATTAACCAGGGTTTCCCCTTCCTTGGGTTAGTTTGGCAACCTCACGTTCTCTCACTGCAGATGTTTCTTTGAGGAACCCCATTCCTTCAATGAACGATAAAGTTCTGGGGTGAATTAGAATTCAGGCCCATAAATGAGAGTAGGCAACAGGCACATGTACAGTGCCAGACTTCTCCTTTAAGTAGCTCCTTCGCTGAGTCCAACTGCTCTCGTCTCACTTGTTGAGCAGGTCCTGCTTCATTGAGCTCCTTTTTCGCAACCTGAGTGCCCCATGGAGGTGAAGGACACAGCCTAAGCTGGCTCCATCAGTCAGCAGAACAAATGGGCTTGCTCTGCCTAACATCGGGCCATCTCGAATTCCACGTCTTTTATAGAGATGAGTGATGAAGAGGGGCTTGTTCCGCTTTGCAGCTGTATTAATACACATCAGGGGCCAGCTCCTGGCACTAAATCACGCTTCTGCATACATCTGTTATCGGACTCCTCACCAGCGTGATGAACAAGTCTGCAGATAGAGGCTTCCTTGTGTCATTCTTTATAGGATTTTCCTAAAAGAATAAATAGCTCAAATCTCTGCCAACACTCTCCCCTGTCATTGTGATGAATTTAGCTTCTTTCTTAAACATGCAGCTACAAATCTTCCCAGTCACACCCTCCCCCATCCACACAAAGTTTTAAGTTGAATTTGACTGAATTCAGCAGATGTTGTTAAAAGCCGTGTGAGATGCGCACACTCGCTCCTTTCCAGTGTCAGGAATGAAAGGAGAGACCTGGGACTCCATTTATTTGGTAACCTAACAGGCTAGCTAAGTTAATTATGCCCTTGATTCCCAGTAAATAGTGTCTGGTAACGCTTGTTCTGTCAGAGAGACCTATATTCAAAGGCATGCCTGGATGTACCAAATAAGCTAAGGGGAGCATCCAAATCTATATCACATTCTCGGAGCAGAAAATTTCCAGTAACAGCGCTGCTGCCTGAGGCAAACTGGATTAGCGACTACTGCTAAAATAGATGTCACCGGAGAAGAGAGATTTGGGCATTTCCCCCAGAACTCTTGAGAACTTACAACAGGAAGGAATTCAGAAGGTGACTTCAGTGCCTCAGGAAGTGACTCTTGTCTTCAGAAATGTGCTGGGAAGTCCTTTTTACTCAGGTGCTCAGAAAGGCTGAGACTTAAAGCCAGGGCTTTCCAGCTAGAAAGCAGAGTAGCAGATGGGAATTCTGTCATGTTTTAAACACAAATTCTGGCTAGAGCAGGTAGCCATAGGAGTCAGGAGATGTTTGTAATGGAGTGCATCAGATTGGAAGTCCCAGATGGTCTTCTGTAGCTTGGCTGAATGCAAAAAGGATGTGAACAATTCTCTTCTGTTGTGAGAAAAGTATTGGCTGTGTACTTGGTGCTGTACAAAACACAGAAGCAGAAAGAAACTGTAACTAACTAAGACTAACAAATGAAATAATGTATCATTTAGTTTATTCCTCTAAATAATTATTCATCCTGTCAAGTTCTGTTAATGGGGACTGGTTGATCCAGGAGATGGAGATTTGGGAATGGGATATGGAGCATTTTACCTCTAAACTGCTAGCTGCAATCCAGTCCAGACATTAGGTGACCATTGAGCTTAGGTATAGAGACTTTGACCTGTTCCAGTCTGGTCCAACTTGAAGAAGTGTTTGGTTTAGGAGATTGCAAATGAGTTCTACTCTGGTCTGTCTTGCCCCATTTTTGTAGCTGTTTGTGATACACTGTCTACCCTACTGAGTCCATGCAGAGGTTCACAGTGCATTTGCTTTATCTGTACCATTCTCTATTTGGACACCAGAACATCACTGCCTTTCCTTTGCGGGTCTCTTCTTATAGAGCTCACATGATCACTCCACCCTGTCCCTCATGCTAAAACAGTTGTGCTTGCCCAGGATGCATTATTCTGTAGCGCATAAAGCTTATTTTCACCTTCTCTGGTGCTAATTAAATTATCCTCTTTCATCCAAACTATTCAAACTTGAATTTTAAAAAAAGACCTGCAGAAGAGATGCTCTGGGTCAGGATTTCTCAACTTGGGGGTCACAAACAGGTATTGGGGTTGTGACCTCGTTGCCCTACACACATTGCTAAATGGGAGAGAGGTTCCAGTATGGAAAAGGATGAGATTCACTGCTCTAGATCTTCTGGTAGCCACTAGAATAACATATAGAAATCTATGATTAGTGCTTAGGTTGCTATGAGGTTACCAGTTTTAACTTTCTTTTCTCCTGTCCTCTGTCTCCACATTCTCCTTTTCCTCCTACTGTTTTGTGTTCCAGCAGCTTTGCCTGTCCACATGGATGCAGCAGACTCATCCCTGCCAGCAACACAGTCCCAGAGGTCCCAGAGCTCTGACTGGACGGGCAGAACCCAGGCAGCAGAGAAATCCACTGCTGCTGCCCCAGCTAACTTCTTTAAAACACCACAAGAGAAGGGCTCTGGATACAGCTAGATGGAGGTGTCTCTACTCGGAGCTGGTTGCGTTTATGAAATGTTGGACTTCGAAGTACATCAGCACTGAACGTCTCATTTGGCAATAACCATCTCATCAGTGTTGGTGCGTGTTGCTCACCGTCCTCCAGCTGTGTGCCCCACACATCCCCAGATCATGTTTGTGAATCTGTGTAAAAAGTAACTGGTGATGTTGGGGCTGCAGCTTTTTTAAAGCATTCCTGCTATTGCTGTGAGTACTTATTACACATGCATCTCCTGTCCCAGCACCTGTTGTTATCTGCTGGGATGTGTACAGAGCCTTGTGGTTTTGCAGGTGTTGGTCTTTGTTATGAAGCTGGTCACCACTTGGGCATATTGTTTGTTGCAAAGGGTTGAATATAACAGGAAAAAGTCCTACTGCGGCTATGCAGAGGCAAGAATCTGTCTTTGGCAAGCATAAGGACAAAAACAAAGGCCAGCTTAGGATTCCTGGTCAGGAGAGGAGGAGGGGAACAGCAAGTGCAAACAAGGTTTGAAATGTGGGACTTGAATTCTGTATTAGCAAAACACCTATAGGCCTCTCACTGAGGGACTTGGCAGTCAAGATGTTGTTTCTAATGAAACAAATGTGGTGCTGGTCCTGTCAGGAATTGCCAGTGGCTTACTATCAGCATGGTCCTTCAGCGCTTTTTGTCCTTCCTTGTTTGGAGTGTCTTTAGTCTTGCCCTGTGAATTGCAGTATTCTTTCCTTATTCTTCATCCTCTCCATTTATCCTGCTGGACAAGGGGTTGGTAGAACCAATTAGACAAAAATGTGCAGACTGGAGTTATGAGAGGAAGCTTGGATCAAGTTGCCCTAAAATATCCTCTGAGAAGTCTTCATTGGGGAGATGACAGAGAGGAAATATTGGAATACTGTCCATGGGCATCCAGCTTCAGAAGCTACTGTAAGCAATCCCGAGGACACTTGAAGTTAAAGTCCATGTCCCACTGTGTACTAAAAGTTATATAGAGTATTATCTGAGTTCAAAGCACTCTCTAAAGATTGAACCACTTCCCCTGTCTCACATTCTCCCTGTCTTCCTCAAAGGTTAGTGTTCTGAAGTATATATAAGTGGGGTTCCCCTCTATCTCCAGAGTATACATGGAAGGGGTCTCCCTCTATCACTGATTGTACTCTGCTCTGTAGTATATATGGGAGGGTGTCCCTGGATTTCCAGTTGTACTCTGCTCTGTGGTATGTATAGGAAGGGTTTGCCTTCTCCACCTTTCCTTGCATCCCTGATGGCATTTGCTCTGCAGTATATTGGGGAGGGTTCTTTTCTCCCCACAACCCTTTCCCTTTATCCCTGATTGCTCTTCAGTTTGCAGTATTGATGGGGGGTGTGTGTGTGTCTCCTGCTTTCTCTTTTCCTGTATCCTTGGTTGTACTCTGCTTGTTTCCCTATCTCTTGAAAGACCTCTCTACAGCTTCACTCTGGGTTACATATATAGAAGATGTGCCTGGATAGTGTGTACAAAAGGAACCATGCCATGCTTGCTTGACAACCCTAGTTGCCTTGTGAGCTGTTGGGTGTTTTCAAACAGGTGGCCCTTGTCATTACAAAACCTACGGGTTGGCTGAGTGGGTGGAGCTCCAGACAGGACCATCCATTAAGAGCAAAAATAAATTTTCAACATGGGGTGGAACTTGCACCCCTAGATGTAGATGATGGATTTGCATGTTTCCCTTGCTTTGCTCTCTATGACCTATAAATCAAATGAGTGAGGGGTAGATTTGATTATGAGCAGATCAGAAAATGTTTTAATTGTTTTTAAATTTTCTTTGTATTAAAATTTTAAAATTAAATGGCCAGCCATGAAGACCCATAACATAACACACAAAGTAAGTTACAAAATCAAACAAAATGCTCTCGAACAATCTAAATCATGAATGATGAATAGTTACATTAGACAAAGTGTCCATGTCTTATCCACTAATACCTATTTACTCTTGGGGAGAGACCCAAATTGGATTTATGTTTTCTGTCCTAAGGAAAATCTCAGCTCTGCCCACATAAATCCCTCTGAAAAATCTCATGCGTCTTTCTTATACATATTGAAATTCCTTAGAGGGAGAGTCTTGTTACCCTCATACAGGGGCACAGAGTTTAAAGGCTAGTTTGGATTATCTATGAGCAATTACCAGGGATTTGAGGGGAAAGAAATGTTCAGATTAAGTTAGTGTCTTTACATTCTTATTTTTGTGCTTTGTACAAAACCAAGTCTGTAGCGCTTAACAAGTAATAAAGACAGACTCTATCATGAAGCGCCTGTGATCTAAAACCCGTACAGAGAAGATGGGACACTGGGAAAACATAATTAGGGAATAACTTGGCTTTTTTATTATTTCACTCCTTGTGGGCAAAGCAGGAGATAAACTCCATCCAGCTGCTGATTTGCTTCTTGGTTATAGAAGATGTTGTTTCAATGGAGAGATGAATGGAGATGTTAGATACTGTTTGTCTAATGCAAGGGCAAGCACAGGCACGGGACATGTATTAAAAGTGAGGGACTGTGAGCATTGGGGAGCTGAGAATAGGTAATATCACTCCTGTTCCCTGCATTTGTTGATAATCCAATAGTGGGTTGCAGCTAACTGCAGGTTAGCTGTGCAGTTGTCCCATGGTCCCTTGTTTCAATTCCATAAATCTTCCTTTCCATGAACAGTTGTATTCATCATTTTAAAGCACAAGCCTAAACCATGTCCCTGGATTCCTCATGAAAGAGAATTAGACCAGTGGCCTATTGTGGTACTTGTTTGTCTCTTGGAAGAAGCTCAGATACTTCAGTGATGAGTACCATTAGAAGAATTTAGATAGGCCACCGACCCTAACAAAACACACTCTGAAAGTTGTTCCAGTGGTTAATTACTGACTGTTAAAAAAAATTACATGTTATTTCTAGTTTGAATTTGTCTAGCTTCAGGTCCAGCCATTGGATCGTGTTATACCTTTCTCTGCAAGATTGAAGGAGACCATTAAATATTTGTTCCCCATGTCGATACTTAGACTCTAATCAAATCACCCTTTAACCTTCTGTTCATTAAGCTAACTAGTTTGAACTCCTGGAGAATTTCACTATCAGGCATGTTTTCTAATGCTTCAGTCGTTCTCATGGCTCTTCCCTGAGCCCTCTCTGATTTATCAATATCTTTCTTGACTTGTGGACACCAGAACTGGACACAGTATTTCAGCAGCAGTTGCACCAGTGCCAAATACAGAGGTAAAGTGACCTCTCTGCTACTTGAGAGTTTCCAGTTTATGCATCCCAGGATCATATTAGCTCTTTTGGCCACAGCATCACATTGGGAGCTCATGTTCAGCTGATTATCCACCATGACCCCCAGATCTTTTTCAGAGTCACTCCTTCCCAGGAGAGAATCCCACATTTTGTAAGTATGGCCTACATTTTGTTCCTAGATCTATCCATTTCCATTTAACCATATTAAAACACATATTGTTTGTTTGCGCCCAGTTTATCAAGTGATCCAGATTGTGCTGTCTTCATTATTTATCCCACCCCCCCCATTTGTGTCACCTTTAAAACTTTATCGGTGATTATTTTGTTTTCTTCCAGATCATCAATAAAAATGTTAAATAGCATAGGGCCAAGAACCGATCCCAGTGGGACCCCGTTGGAAACACTCCCACTTAATGGTGACTCTCTGTTTACAGTTACAATTTGAGACCTGTAAATTAGCCAGTTTTTAATCCATTTATTGTGTGCCATGTTAATTTTATAGTTCTATCAGTACATATAGTTATTATACAAAATCATAAATATCAGAGAGGGAAAAGTTCTATTAAAACGGGGCTTTTCAACGTTTTCTGTACTTTGACCTCATGTTACAACAGAAAACATTTTATGACCTTCCTTCTAACCGTAGGAAGGTGGCCACAATCCCCAAAACCTGTTTGCAACACCCATGTTCATGTATAAAACAGGCAGTCTTTCATTGCTAATGCAGGATTGTTCTCTACAAAAGAATTTTCTAGTGCTTTGTCCAGTCTAGCTTTAAATATCCCTAGAGAAAGATCCTTCACAGCTTCCCTTGGTTGCAAGTCTATTAATCAGCCTAATGCATCTCACTAAGAGTTTTCCTAACAGTCATCTTAATTTTTCCCTGTCTTAAATTCATCTTGTTACTCCTGGTTATATTCACTTGTATCACCCTACATAATTCCTCTCCCTCCTGGGTGCTAGCACCATTCACCTTTAGTAGATTGTTATATAGAATCAGCAGCCTAGTCTCACAATTGAGGGGTCCAGGCTGCAACTCCATGTTCTCAGAGGGCAGGGTGGAAACAATTTATTCTCAAATTTTCCTGTTGATGTCAATAGAGCTGCTGATCCAAGCAGGGACTGTGGGATCAAGCTCTTAGATTGTGAGCTCTTCAGGTCAGGGTACTGACACATTTTCTTTTGTCTCCAAAGGATTGAGCATACTTATGGCACTATTGAAATAATAATCATAGCAGACACCTCCCTTTGTAGGTAGCATCTCTTGCCATGGGATGTTTCCAAAAGGGCTGGAGGTCCCAACCATATGAGTTCCTGCTATTGCTTTCCCTTCCCCACTTGCAGTGTAGAATCCAATTATGGGCCAGCCAGGCTCTGAGCAGGGTTGCTGATTTGTAGGGGATTCCACAAGCTTAGTTTAGGACACGTTATATCCTGTGCTGTGACTCCAGAAATCGGAGTGTTATATGATTTTTTTGTAAAATCCCTTTCAGAGATCAGTAGCTTGCTTCAGGTTTTAAATAAAGATTCTTAGTATTGCTGTGATCCAGCTGATTTGTTTGGTTTCTCTTTCTCTATGGCAGGTGTTCTCTTTCCTTCCCTTCCCCTCAGTTTATGTAGTTTATTGTATGTCCAGATTCCTTGCCCCTCTCTGAGGAATGCTACTTGTGGCAGCAAGGGGAGTAAGGGGACAGAGGTTTTTTAGAAGCAAGTGTCAATAAAATAATAAAACAAGGAAACTTTATGCAATGCAATGATCCTGCTTCCAGCGCAGCAGGAGCTGACACCACCTCAGGGAGCTGGTGCTGAGTCCCAGCATGAGGCTAAAACCTGGTCAACACATGTAATTTAAATTGCCATAGCTGTGATGCTTACGGGTGTGAAAAATCCACATCCCTGAGCGCCATAGCTCTGCTGACCTATCCGCTGGTGTAGACACAGCTAGGTCAACGAAACAATGCTTCCATCGACCTAGCTACCCTTGTTATGGGGAGGTGGGGTTCCTACAGCAACAGAAAAACCCCTTCCATCACTGAAGGCTGAATCTACATATCGGCTTATGCTGACAGCTATGGCACTATAGTGTAGACGTGGCCTTAGCTGCACCACTTTAACTCTGTTGGGATTGTTAAAGTGGTACAACTCCCAGCGTGGATGTAGTTTTACTGGTATAAAGGTACTTTTACCGGTATAGCTACCTCTGTACAGGAAGGGGAATAACTACTGGTATAAATCACCTTTATACCAACTGGAGCCACACTGGGGATTATACCAGTATAACTATTTTAGTAAAAATCCACACCACTAATTGATGCAGGTATACTGATAAACCTTTCAGTTGTAGACCAGGCCTTAAGTGAAGCAGGAACTTGAAAGATCATAGTCTGTGTGACCCTGAAGGGAGCAGGAACACCGTCATGGCTCAGGGGGAATCGACAGCCCAGAGCCAAGTCCCAGTGTTACACTTAAGTGTTAGTGTAGACAAAGCCTTTGTCGGCAAAACATTTGTCGGTCGGAGGGAGACACCCTGACCTACACAAATTTCACCGACAAAAGCACTGGTGTGCACAGCGCTATGTCAGCGGGAAATGCTTTCCCGCCAACATAGTTACCTCTGCTCATTGGAGGTGGTTTAATCGAGCCAGTGGGAGAGCTCTCTCACATTGGCATAGAGCAGCTACGTTGGAGGCTTTACAGCAGCGCAGCTGCAGTGGTGCAGCTGTGCCGCTGTAAGGTCCATAATGTAGACACAGCCTTAGAAAGAGTTAGACTGGAGGCATCTGGAAAGATATGGGAGGTCCAAAAGCTCAGTCTGGGCACACATGTTCAGAAGGCTGAAAGAGCAATTTGAGCTGTAGAAACAGAGCTATACTGAACTAAGGTAGAATGTGAAGGAGACAGGGCATCATAATGAAATCTGTCTGAGGATCTTCTTGGACCTGTTCCATGGTCTCACACCAACCTCACCATGTGGCTTTACGCTTCAGTCCCCCACTTCAGATCTCTTTCCTTTCCCTTTGAACACTTGGGGTTTCTTTCTTTATTTCCAAAGGGACCCAAACAAAAAGAGTTTCATTTAATCATAATGACAAGGGTGGAATGATGGATGTGAGGTGGAAGAGAATTCCACAGCTGGGAGGAGCATATGGTTAAAACATCTTCAAAGCTAAAGGTCCTGGAACAGTAGACGCTACAAAACCGGCACTGGCTGGTCTTACAGCTTGGTAATTGTGAGAGAACAAGGAAGCCTCTTATTTAAAAAGGGACAAGACCTGTGGAAGAAGTGTCATCTTGCAACCAGTCTCTTATTGATATAGGTATTTGATGCCTCCTATCGCCATTGTATCTGAGCAGCTCAACTACCGTGCCATTTATCACTGTGAAAACCTTTTTGGAGGAGAGAGATGTTCTGAATGTTTAGTAACTGTGAGGAGGAGAGAATTTTGGTTGCTTCCTGGAGAATCTATGGTCCACAAGCCCAGCTCTGCAGTGGTCCTGTCCTGCCAATTGTGATGCAGTGTACTGTCAGCTGTGATGCACAGAGCAGAATTACAGATGTTTTTTCAGGAAGATGGAACAGAAGCTTAAAAAGGGAGAGTGAAACACAGGAAAAGGGAATCAGATATTACATGGAAACTAAAAGTTAAGTTAAGGACTGCCAAAAGAATGTGAAAAAGCTAAAGTAACAATGGTTAGTAGAGGTCAAAGGGGAACATAGGTGATACTTTCTGTAGGACAGAACGGAAAGCATTGTAGTGTCATATAGACAGAAAAGATACTATAGAGGCTGACTTGGAACCCTTGCAGGACCTATGTAGTTACATTTCCTGCCCTTAACCTCAGTCCAACATGCTAACAGTACCAAGATGGCCAGTGAAAGGTCTACAAGTGCAACACATTGACCTTCTGAGACAGCTGTGTCTTCATGACAACATTAGGAAAGATGCCCAGGTATTGTTCAGGTATTTATTGGTAAATGTACCACCTAGCTCAAAGGCTCAGCAGTGGAGCATATGAAACCTTTATCTCTTAAGTCACTGATTTTGAATTCACCCAGTAGTGACTAAAAAAGATTGCCAGCTTGCAGATCTCCAGTAGATTTTAAGAAGATTGCTCACAGTGTTATGTTCTTAGTGGACAGATGTATACCACACAATTATTATTAATCACCAACAACGTGCTTGGCTCTGTCTAAGACAGGAAATACAGACAGCCACTGCCTAGGCTAGCTTACCATTTAAAGAGAAATACTGACTATGAAAACAAAAAATACTGTTGCCATTGGACCTGATTAATGCTTGTGTTGGTAGCATCAGGGGACACAAAGGACTGAATGAGCTGTGGAAGTGATTGTGTGGTGAACTGGGAATAGCAATGGTGACTCACCTTTGCCCGGTGCTTTGAGAGCTATGTATGAAAAGTGCTATAGATAAGTTGTGTCTTTAGATTTTCCCTAGATGTAACTGTATTTTCCAGGTTGAATTTACTTTTACTCCTGTATTTTCTACCTCTTCTTGTTTATAATTCTTTGCCTTGCTGCGATTCACAATTTCCCAGTTAGATTTAATGTAATGTGCTGTCTCCTCCCATTTCCAGAACATTAATGAAGACATTAAATAAGACTGGACCTTGCACTCAAGCCATGTGGCTCTCTACTGAACTTCTTGCCCTATCTCACCATGTTGTCATTTATTACTAATTATGTTTATTACAGTAGCCCTTAAGCGCCCTAGTCATAGATCAAGACCCCATTGTGCTGGGCCCTATTCAAACACAGAACAAAGACTGTTCCTGCCCCAAATGGCTTAGTCATTGCTCTCTTGGCCTTTCATCTAATTTGAGTCCGTGGTGTGCTCAGAATGATTGTCAGTTCCATGAGAACAAGTAAGATTTTTTTTTTGTGTGATGCTGTATAAAGTGAAGTCTGGCTCTATCGCACTATGTTCCCTTGTGAAGGCGATCACTCACTTCATGAGCCTCCTAGGGGCCTGGTGAGGAGAAAACAGGCTGTCTTCTTTCCTTGTGCCCCCTGTTAACAGTTGTTCCCGCACAGCAGTAGTCTGCCTTTCAGTGACAACCCTCTGGCCAAGTCATGAATTGTGTCCACCCCTTTCAGGGTACACAGAGTCCAACAAAGGATAGCTTTAGTGTCCGGCAAAGAGGTTCCAGGCCACACTGGGCCAAGGTCCCAGAGTCATGACCCTCTGGGTTATAGTGTCTTCCTAGTCCATATTCCTCTGTACCCAGTGTAGCTTTTTGCCTTCAGCCCTATCTGGGGGTTGGTAGGGGAACCCAGGCCTACCCTCTCCACCAGGTCCTAATCCAAGGCCATGTGGTAGGCACCAAGGTCCTGCACCCTAATGGACTGTGCTGCTGCTCCCCTGCATTGCTTCCCACCAGTCTCTCACAGAAGGGCAAAGCAAAGACATGTAAGCAAAATAAATCAAAAGATAAATCCCAGACCTTGCAGCTATCCAAAGTTCCTTTTCCCTCAGCAGATCAGGTAGGTTCTTAATAGTCAGGGGTCCCAGGCAGCTGGCCCTTCCATAGTACTCCCTCTGAGAAGCTAAGAGCATCGGCCTGCTCACCTCCAATGACTGACTACGATTGAGTTGCTCTGCTCCCCTTTTAAACTCCTCCAGTGCCTGCATGCATTGCAAGTGGGGCAGCCTAGGCCCAAAGTAGCTCTTTAACCCATTCTTTTCCAGTGCAGGATTTGTACACCCCATCACATCCCTTCATCTGCTAATTCAGTAATTCTATTTTATTATGTGTGTTTTACTGTAGTTCCTGGAGGCCTCAGGAAGGATCAAGGCTCAGTTTTGCTAGGTGCTGTACCAAATGCAGACTAAAAGAACAGCTTCTGCCTTGGAGTGTTTACAATTTAATAAAGGGTGAAGAAGGTATGAAGACAGACGTGAGGAAAAGAAACGAAAGAGGCATTGTGGTTGGTGTCACTGAATGATCGATTATTACAATTGAATGATTGTAGCATGTGCAGAGATGCATATTACCAGCGCCTTGAACAAAGATGACACTGAGGCAGTTGTCTGCTGTGCTCCCAGCCACAGGGGATCATGCCATCATGGACATCACTGACCCATGTACACAGTGGGTATGGGATGAAAAAGGAAATTGCCACAGGGGCAGCTAGAGATTTGGTTGGTTGCCACTAGTTTCATCTTTTGTCCCTTGGTCTCTCTCCTCCCCTCCCGCCCCCCGAAAAAGTAGGTACAGTGTAACCTGAGAGTTAGGAACACCAGAGTTATGAACTGACCAGTCAACCACACACCTCATTTGAAACCAAAAATATACAATCAGGCAGCAGCAGAGACCAAAAAACCAAAACCACAAATACAGTACAGTACTGTGTTAAATGTAAACTACTAAAAAATAAAGAGAAACCAGCATTTTTCTTCTGCATAGTAAAGTTTCAAAGCTGTATTAAGTCAATGTTCAGTTGTAAACTTTTGAAAGAACAACCATAATGTTTTGTTCAGTTATGACCATTTCAGAGTTATAACGACCTCCATTCCTGAGGTGTTCGTAACTCTGAGGTTCTATTGTATTTAAAAGAAGAAAATAAAAAAGGTAGGTGCTTCAAAATCATAAAGGAATTATATGAACTGGAAAGGGCCTGGCATTCATTACTGAGGTATAGACAAAGCATGTTACAGGGGGACTGTCAAATGCGCAGTGTGAACACCACCTGCCCCCAGTGTCTCTGTTCTTGTATCTTTAATTTTGTCCCCTTTATTGCCACAGCTTAGTTGTTTGGTTTGGGAGGTGTGTTGCCTTTGTATCATAGAACATCTATGTAAAAAACAACCCTCCCTCCCAAAAAAAATGCCTTCTAGTGAGTGACTTAGAGCTCAATCTGTTTTGCTTAGCACTGAGGTTGAGAAGTGACTTCATTATGGTGTAGAAGTTCTTTCATGGGGAGAAAAGGCTGAGTACTAACAGCAGAGAAAGGCATTACAAGAACCAATGGCTGGAAGCTCAAGTCAGACAAATTCCAGTTATAAACTAGGCACAAATTTTTAACAGTCATGGTCATTAACCAATGGAACAACCTACTCTGGAAGTGGTGGATTCTCAATCTCTTGATGTCTTCGTATCTAGATTGGATGTCTTTCTGGAAGGTATGCTTTAGTCATACCTATGTTACTGGGTTCAACACAGGGGTAAATGGGTGAAATTCTATGGTCTGCTTCATAGTGGAGGTCAGATTAGATGGTCAAATAGTTTTTTGGTTCTGAAATGTATGAAGCAGGTTGGCTTTTGTCTTCCTATCTTTCCACTCTATTGTTGTGTGAGAAGAGAGATGCAATGAAAGGTGTGTAGCATTACAGTTCCCAGCAGTATAATCTGGGCAAAAAATCCAGAAGATCTGTGAAATGACTGAAGATATTGTGTTGCCAAAGGGCTGCAAGCATGGAATCAGCAGTTGGTGAGACAAGGAGAAAGGCAAGAATTTTGCTTATGCAAATAAACGTACATCTCTTACCCCATTTGTATGTAACCTCACAGGACTGGAGACAGTGTGGCAATGTGTTGTTGATGTGCAATTTCGAGGCACCCAACTATCTCCTGGTTAAAGATTCCTTAACAGTTAGGATGCCCACCTATTCCTGCTACACACAAGCGAAGCAGGAATCCCTCCTGGTTCTATGCAGAATCTATCAGTGTTGAGTCAACTTCAGGAGCTCTATCTCAGCTCTTTAGCTCAGTTGTGTATTCTGTGTGAATTCTCCCCTAGACTAAAGCAAGTAGGGAACTGGTGGGTTCGCTATCGCCTTGGCAGGACATCTGATGAAATAAAGTACTTATAACTTCCGTGCATTTTATCGCCTATAATCAGGAATTGATTCCACTTCTCCTGGTGTGACATAAGAAAAGATGCCTCCCTGCAGAAGTGCTCCACTGGTGGCCCCTGGTTTGATATGGAAATGGAAGGGGCAGGTGTCTTCCTATGGAAGAGCTCTGCTGCACCCAGCTTCTGACAGGAGATGATGTGGCTGAAGAGAGTGTTGTTCCCACTGGTATCATGGTCTCTAATAATGAGAGGGCAATGACCAGCTTTAAAATGTACCAAACTGCATCTCCTGGCATGTTTCAAAATAAATATAAAATTCCTGCACTGATAGGGCAGTGCCCCATGCCAGCTCTGAAATCACGGATCCTGGAAATGGCACTGACATCTAGTCCTAGCAGCTGTCTTTGTTGCCCGGAATGATGTATTCTAGTCCTTGGTACTGGAAGTTCTGCTATTAATACCCTGAGCTGAGGCCTTGTGCACTGAGTTGGCCCCTGGGCAGAGCTGAAGTCTAAGAATTCCCACTCTCTCACCTTCGGCTGCACCAGAGACTAAGCCAAGAGCAGGAAAAGCTAGAAGAAACCTGATCATTCATCTGTCATGGGCAGCCTATCCAAAGAGAGTCCTGGGATGGCTTTCCCCCAGAAACCTGTATGGGGCACTATGTACATATCACAAGTGTTTTGTGTGGTCATGGACTTTCCCTATTAACAGGGCTTGGACTCCAGACTGTTAGGACTTTTTGTTTGTTTGGTAAGGTTGTAAACAAGGAAAACTCATGGCTGTGTCCCTGGGTCTAAAAACATGCTGTGTACTCTCTGAGCCAATCTCTCAGAGAATCTTTGTTCAGATTGTAGAAACTGGAAATAAAAGCAATATTCAAAATAAAGAGTTTTATGTGATGTAAAGCAAACGGACCTGCAATGGAATGAGGAGGTTCACTGACTTCTAAATGAACTGATGCAATCATGCCTCAATGACATACATATTTCTTTTCCTATTCACTTTCTTCTATATAGGTCCAAGTAATAATAATGTACAACTCAACTGAGAAGTCTGCAGGGGAGATTATTCTTTCACCATTCAAGTCACAGCTTCTTGACTCCAAGCGAAGGGGTTTGCTGGGCCCACCCCACTTTACCATGCCCATACCATTGCTCCTTGTTTTGCAGTGGCCTTGTTGTTTGCTGGCTTGCCATGACTTCATTTCCCTGTTCTTGTTATGCACCCAATTTGTAATTTGAAACATTAAATCTAAGTTGCTCTCAAGTACCTGTTCACCTGAATCACCATGTTAAATCTGGCCCAAGTCAACAGGAGCCATGTTTGAAAGGAGCTGGTGGTGTCAGGTCAGTGTTTAGTGGACATGTGTTTATTTCATCAAAACTAGCATCACCGTGAGCACTGATTAATCTGGTCTTCAGCAATTTCAGTAGGGAGCTCAAGGTTCAAATTGGCCTGGAGATTGAATTCCTCTCTCACACATGATGTTGGTCTCTAAAAGTCGAGGTTGAGGCCATCTGTGAGGAGAGCCATGTAGGAAATTCCCCTGTGCATCAGCTGCTGTAGATATAAATTATAGGACTTCGGCTATCACATCAATCTGGCACTTTTCATTAGCACAGAAATCATGAAGCACTTAAAAAAATACTTTGGATAATATTTGATGTGTTCTTTCTGAAACTGAATCGTTTCAAAAGGCTCTTGATAGAAACAAAAATATCTGCAAACTGCACATCTTGTAAACAGGATGAGCCTGCCTCAGACTGATATTTTCTGGAAAGTTTCAGCAAAAATGGTTGAGCCATTTCTTACAATTGTCTCAGTGAGATGCTTTAGCACTTCTATGGTTTGGAGCAGGCACTTGAAATTTAGCAGGAAGATTACCTTAGGGTCAGGCAAATACCCTTTTCTGTTCATGTAAAAATTAACACATTTGGCTTCTGAAAAAAATTGCTGCATGCACATGTTTAGGAGAGATTTGTTAGAGACTGGCAGCTAAATTATCTGAAGATTTCATCTGGTTTGAAACATACTCTACAGCAGCGGCTCTCAACCTTTCCAGACTTCTGTACTACTTTCAGGAGTCTGATTTGTCTTGCGTACCCCAAGTGTCACCTCACTTAAAAACTACTTGCTTACAAAATCAGACATAAAAATACAGAAGTGTCACAGTACACTATTGCTGAAAGATTGCTGACTCTCATTTTTACCATATAATTATAAAATAAATCAATTGGAATATAAATATTGTACTGACATTGTGTATAGTACATAGAGCAGTATAAACATGTCATTGTATGAAATTTGAGTTTGTACTGACTTCGCTAGTGCTTTTTATGTAACCTGTTGTAAAACTAAGCAAATATCTAGATGAGTTGATGTACCCCCTAGAAGACCTCTGCATACCTGCAGGGGTACATGTACCCCTGGTTGAGAACCTCTGCTGTAGAGCAGAATGGCTGGGACTGAGCGGATCTTTCCCTTCAATTACTCCTACCTGGCAAGTGTCACTGTGGTGCCAGACACCAGACCTGAGGAGAGTGTGAAAATGGCTTGACTCTAATGCAGATGAGTAGGGAGCAGAGGGGGAATGGGGCAGGCTGGGGGGTATGGGGCAGAGGGGTCTATAATTGCTAGGGAACACTTGCCTTCAGAACCTGGAGTAGAATCTAGAACTCCCCATGAGCTCTACATTTCTATGATTCTTGAATTCCAACATTACTCTGCTGTCTAGCAACCTATGGCGAAGTGTGCCTCTCATCTCCCTGTAGCAGCTGTTCCTCACAGAGGATAACCATTGACTCAAATGGTAGATTGAAAGGTTTCCAACATTGCAGATAACCCACACAGAGGTCAGTATGGTTCCACATGAAGGGATTTCTGTTTTTTCAGTTTCCTTTTTAAAAACACTTTAAAAGAGTATTAAGGCTACAAACTCCAAACACTGAAAGTTGGGAAATAGCACATTAATGTTGCCCATGTTGCTTTAATTTAGTCCCTTTGTGTGTGCATTATGATACAGCTTTTAATTTAATCAATTTTTTTTTCTATAGGACACCTTCATTCAGAACAGAGGGTGGATGGTGCTCACTGAATGACCAGCTATTCAATATTTCTTGTCACCCTCATTAATCAGTGTCCAGTCCTATACTATCCAAATCTTACTCTGAATAAAGTATTATTTATTTCCTATGACACTCATCATTAGAGTATCTGAGTGCTTCATAAACATTAATGAATTTATCTTCACAAAATCCCTGTGAGGTAAGGTGCTATTGTTATCTTCATTTTACAGATGAGGCACAAAAAGATTAAAGCCAAAATTGTTAAATGTCTACTAATTTTGGGGGCCCAACTTGAGACACATAGGGCCTGATTTTTTTCAGAGTATTTAGCATTTTTATAACCCTTTATATGGTCAAAGCACAGCTCCCTTTGCCTTCAGTTGCAGCTGTGAGTGCTCAGCACTTCTGTAAATCGGACCCCAGCATCTCA